ACAGGGAGCTGAGAGAAACTCCGGCTTCGGGAGTCGATGCAGCTCATGTCACGCCGCGGTAACCGGGATGTGGCGTCCTCCACGTTAACGGATTTATTTTAAAGTTACATCATGAAGCGGGCCGACGACCTTGACTGTCCTTCCTCATGGCGGTTACGACGTGACGCCGCCAGTGTGGAGCGACAGTGATGAATGCCGCCCAAATATCATCCCTCCATCACGCGGCCCGATGTGCCACTGATTTATACGTAGTGGTCCGCGGGGAGCTCGACGGCTCTCTGGAGACGATCTGAGCAAACATCTAGCACGTAAATCACCACCTGGAGGTGGAGCCACGGCAGGTCGACGCTTCTGGAGCCTCTGGGCCAAGTCAGAGTCCACTGAGAGTTTACTAAATACGATCAATAATCAAGAATATTTATATTATATTTATATTATATTATCATTTTCCAATCCTTAATACACAGATTTTTTTTTCTTTCAAATGAAAAAAAAGGAAAAATACTGATTCAAACACAGTAAAAGAACAAATTACTTTTTTTTTTCAGAAAGACAGAATGTTGGTGTTGATTATTTACAGTTAAAAAAAAAAAAAACAATTAAATTGTTACTTCTGTGATTTATTGAGAAATCTTAAATTTAACAAAACAGGTAGAATTGCTTACAATTTTTAAATCCTTAATATAGACAATTTTCCTTTAAATAATTTTAAAAAAAATAATAATTTAAATACAGTGGGGGAAGAATTTTATAGTCAAATGTTTTTAAAAAAATTAATAATACCCTCTCTTTGATTTGACTAATTATTATCTGTAATTTAATAAAACTGGAAAAATCTGTTAAATAACAGTAAATTATTTCTAAAAATCTGTGAAATATTTTTTTAAAACCATCTTTTACATCCTAAAGTTTAAATTATTATATTTCATTAAAATTCTTTTTTTTTCTGTTTATTTTCTACATGGCTCATTTAAAAATTCGGCAAAAATTAACCCTTTGTTCTGACTAGATTCCGTAAAAAACAAAAAATTCTGCACACATCCACACAAATAAAAAGGCATGAATGACTCGGCTGTGACTGACAGTGTCATGACAAAAATTCAGAGAGTTTTCAGCTGAACTGCAGGCAGTGTTCACACAGACGAGACAGGAGACAATAAAAATGTAGGAAATTAAATATCTACGAGTTTGTTTTCACCAGATTCTGGAATAACAAATACGAGCAACCCTCCTATTAAAGTCAAAAGGTTCAATAAAAAGCCTCGGGAGGTTAAACAAGCTCGATCCAACAGGGAATCACGTCTGCTGTGGGTTCGTCTGACTTCTGCTGAACTCCACCAATCGACCCGGAAAGGTTGACGCAACAACAACAAAAAGAAACGACACCAAAAAAACAAGTCGTCGCTACGATGGAGCTCTACGGAGGTCACACGGTTTAATCTGAAAAGTTGGAGGAGCTAAATCCCGCCATTCAGCAGCGAGTCAAGTGGAATGAAAGCGTCTCTTTCACGGCGTGTCTCAAGGCGGCGGGACATCTCGAGGTTAGAATCATCGGCGGAGTCATATCAAAGCACACCCACTCAAAAATGAATGTTTGCAATCATTCTGAGAGATACAAGAGACGTATAATCTCTCGCACGCAGCTGCCGTCGACTTTAATTTGTTTATGTGGCCGACGGCGCTTCTTCTTCTTCTTCTTCGTCTCAGTCAAAGGCATCGGCTCGTCTGCCGCCTGGATCGCCCCAAAATTAGCAAACAAAAGAGCCGGAGCGTCGACGGAGCGGCACTTTTAGTACCTGATCCCCTCGTTTCTCCACAGATGCTTCGTCTTGTGATTCTGCAGCAGCTTTTAAAAAAAGACTCCAGCAACAGTCTACAGTACGAGAAACGGTTCCGACGAGCCAATTGACTTCAGATATAATTAATCCCGGCGGGACGCGGATCGGTCGACTAATCTCACATACTGTACAGAACGCCGGAATTAAAGGTGTTTTATTAACGAATGCTTTGGCAAAGTTTTTTTTTTTTTTAATGTCGAATGTTTGGCCTCAGAGTTGTCACAGATGAGAGCTTTAAAGAAAGAACGAGTCAACACGAAAAACATTTTGAATTTAAATTCAAGCATCCGAAACCAACTTTCTGATTTCCGTCAAGGACACGACGACATCAGAACGACGCTGCCGAATCTCCAGAAACGGATGCAGACGAAAGTTTATTAATGATCTCTGAATATAACGCTCATTATTCCCAGCTCATGTTATCTATTGGCTAGAAAAGAAAAAAGATTAATGATGATGGCGATACTGTAGTGAGGCTCCGTCCTTGAAAGGGAAAATTGTAATTACAACTTGCCTATCTGCTGTGTTTTTTTTTTTTTTTTCTTTCCTGTCTTTCGGAGATGCTACCGAGAAATAAACAAGGCTAAAACATAATCTGTTGCTCTGAGGGGTAATGAGTAATAACAAGGCAGAGACGAGCGGTGGTATGCTCTGTTGCCATGGATACGAAAACAGATAGTCTACTCGCTTTATGAAATTTTCTTTCTCCGACTCCCACTTTTCCCCCCGCCGACTCCTCTCAGATCCAACGCGATGACAGTTTGTCAAATAAAAAGCCTCCATAGCTCCCATTCAGGAGTACCTTTCCAAAAAAAAAAAAAAGGAATAAAAGCCGCCTTTCATAACCTCCAAGTGGAAAAAGATAAAGAATAAGGCGAGGTGAAAAAACACTATCGCTCAGAAGTGGGGTGTAACTACTGTCCACTTTCCTCCGCTCAATGCAGCGCCACAAGCGAGCCGGGCTTTCCAAAATGTTACGCATCGGCTCGACTGAAAGGGCTCCTTTTACCGCTTCCTTTTCTTTTTTTTTTTTTTTCCTCCCTTCGTCTTCGGGCTGCTGCTTTGCTTTCATTGCGTGAAGGCTCCCATTCTTCGCGGCTCTCTCTCTATTCCAGACTCAGCTTGGACCCGGCGGGGAGCTTAGCGGGTCCAAAAGTCACGCTGCTGAGCGACAAACAGCGGCCGCGGGTAAAACCACGCCGTCCCCGCGTCCGGAATTTTTTCAGATTTCGTGCATGGACGTTTGTTTTCGCAATCGAGTGTTGTGCAGAGACGAAGAAAACAAGAGTGAGGAGGTGATGGAAGGTCCAGTGGATTCATGGAGACGGGCCAGCTGGGAGTTTGTTTTGGTTTTTTTTGCTTCCACTGATACAGAAGAGAGACAGATGCCACGACAGATACCCAAAAACCGCCCAGTCGTCCATTGACGGGAATAATTAAGCCGCCTGTCCACATCGGGACGACTTCCCGAACTTTTCTTTGTCCCTCTTGAAAGCAGAAATCTCTCCACGCCAAATATATACATATTTATTTTAACTTCAACTCTTCTTTCCATTAGCATCTCACTGCTAATCGCTATCCTCAACTCGCCATCGCACCTTCCAACGTTCATTCACCACAACACGCCGCAAAAACCAGGCGAGACAAGAACTCATTGTTTAACCCTATTCGGGACTTTTGGACCCCGGGTCATTTGATTTAGGTGACAAATATTGTTTTTTTAGTTTTCAGGATTTTTTTGTCACGCATTTGGAATCAAAAATACGTCAACTTATCCGAAAATTTATTTAACGTAGTATGAAAGTCTACAATGAATACCAACAAATATTTTGCACGTATTCTTTCTTGGGGTCCAACAGACTCCGAAAGACCTTCTATGTACGGAAACATGAAAGTCCGGAATAGGGTTAAGAAGCTAATTGGTCCACATGGTGTTTTCTATTTGCTAGAAGACATATCATGAGCATTCCTGCCTTTCAAATGCATCGACGCGAACATGAATTTGGACTTTCAGACGTAACAAACTGACAGATTGCAAGGTGAGGTTTCCAAAATCAGCTTCCAGGTTGAACATGTGCGCCCAACTTACTCAAATACTACAAATGTGCAGCACAGAGCAGCTCTACAGTCTTAGAACAGAGTTGTCGGTGAGCTGGTGTGCTCCAGCTGCAGCAAAAGGTTTATTTTCACGAGAAAATAAACACCTGACTGCTAATCTGTCTCCTCAACTCACCATCGCAACGACAACGTTCGTTCACAAAATAAGACGGCGATATCAGACATTGAAGAACTTATTGTTAAACAAACTAAATGGTCCACATGGTGTTTTCTATTTGCTAGAAGACATATCATGAGCATTCATACCTTTCAAATGCATCGACGTGGACGCGAATTCAGACTTTCAGATGTAACAAACCGACAGATTGCAAGGTGAGGTTTCCAAAATCAGTTCCCAGGTTGAACATCTGAGCCCAACTTACTCAAATACTACAAATGTGCAGCACAGAGCAGCTTTACAGCCTTCGGACAGAGCTGCAGGTGAGCCGGTGTGCTCCAGCTGCAGCAAAAGACTTATTTTCAAGAGAAAATAAAAACCTAAACGTGCAACTTTTCCTCCACATGGATGGGTTTTTTAGGGGTTAACTCGGCGGCCACTTCTGCCCAGAGCTGTTTTTTTTTTTCCCTTTATGCTAAGCTAATTGCCTCCTGAATAAGATCCAAAATTGAATCTTCCAAACTCTCCTGCGCGCCACAACAAAGTACAGTTCAAAGAGAGACGGCACAAGGACGGGCAGAGACGCATTTCTTTAGCGCTGATCAACAAATGCCCATTCATCGAGTTTCACAAAAGGTTTGAAGGCCGAAACAAATCAGCATTTATGAAAACCCAAGTAAAAGTATTTCTGAAAGCATTGTGCTGCTGCTGCTGCTGCACTGAAACAGCTGCGCGCACAAAACAGCCGGTCTTACGGCCAGACGACTTCATAGGAGGTTTAACGTGCAATCAATATACACTCACGCATTGTTGTCATCGGCCTATTTCACAGATTCACACTTCCTTCATCTCTCCTCGCCAGCGCCTCGTCACGTAATGGTCTGGTTGTGCATGAATACGATGAATCAATGCACTTTTTTCGACAGGTTGGAGGATAAAAGGCCCACCTTGACGTCCACGTGGGCCATGAGGACGGCGAAATTGGTGAGGTGTGTGCAGGAGCACGTGGTGTGGGTCCGGTTGGTTCCCAGCAAGCGGCAGTCCTGCGTCGACCAGAAGCCCGTCATGGTTCGCTTGGAGTAGCTCCAGAACGAACAGTTGGGGTTGAAGTTCTCCTCAGATTGCTGTTGGAAAGAGGGGGAAAGAAGACACAATTAGGTGTGAAATATCTCCACCTTCCTTTGTGCTCCATCCTCAAAAAGAGCTAATTTCTCCCCCTTTCGCCGTCTGAAGTGACTCGCAGGTGCTTGTGCTGTCATAAAGCATCAAGCGGGCCCCACATGCCTGTTTTTCATTGTGTTTTCTGACCTTTCTCTTTAACTTTCACTGCGTGACGACGGACTGCCCTACTGTTTAATGGGCACCGCCGCTGTCTGCCGTCCTAATGACGCCTCCCCCTCTGCTATCTCGCTTGCCATTTCATAAAAGTCATCCTCGAGGTTGGGTAACACACGAGCACAACAAAACCTAACTGCTGATAAATAGAAACATCACCGGCCTCTTTTCTTTTTTTGTGTGTGTGTGTGCTTCAACCCCTCTCTCGAGTCCAATTTCTTTTTCTAGAAACAAAGAGATCCCTTCCTCGGCGACTCCCTCGGCTTCCAAGGTTATCTGCCGTCGCGCTATAAACACGGCGCAGGTTTTTCATACTTTCACACTGGCTGTAGGGTGATTAGGCCCGATAAGCCTTATCCTCTGTGAATGTAAATTTGCCGCTGATTGCGTTTACCCTTCACACACCCCAAACCCTGCGTAAAATATTCCTCGGCAAAGGAGATGGGATGACCCTCCGTCCCATTAATGACTTTAATTGGTCCCATTAAGTGGCGAGGCAAGGAAGCGAAACAATAACTAGAGGACACATCATCATCCCAGCAGACCGGTGATCCAAAACCTCATGGTTGAGAGGGGGACTTAACTGCAGGAATACAGGAAACAAACACGTCTGACATTCGTTTTCAAGGGCAAAGTCGATAGAAGTCGATTTTTGCATGCAGGAGATAAATCATAAATACCTCTGATTCGGTACGGAAGCCTAAACAATCATCCGCTTTATTGCGACTGCACAGGTCTGATTATTTTCCCCCACAAATATCGGCGTTATTTATGACGGTTTCGGAGACGAATGAAGTTTTTTTTTTTTTTTTAGCTCTGCAGAGAATAATCTCGCTTAAACGGGAATCTCTTAACAGCCGCTCTGATTGGTTTGCAGGAATAAGGAGGCCTTGATGTGATGTGCCAGTCAATACCGTGCGTCAATATTGCATCCAATCAGGCTTAATTAATTGAGGAAGGAAAATTATAATCATGATTATTGTGCGATTAATTGTACAGCCCCCGGTGTACACAGACTACACTCTGTATGGAAATGTCTGGATGTTTACGATGAAAACGGCTGGCAGCTCCTCCGAAAGGGCGCCGTTTTATTGAAACGACTTGATCCGAGCGAGAAAAAGGGCATAAAAGCTCCAGTACCCCAACATTAGACCAACAGTAAAAATTAGAGAGTCCAAATTAAAAATTACTCTTAAGGCAGGTGAGTCAGAGCAGTAACTGCGCTGACATTGTCCCCCTGACATTTTCCCACCGTTTAATTTTGACATCCACAAAAGCTATCACCCCTTCTTTTATTGTATTTTATTTTTTTTCCACTCGCTCCATCCCTCTGAGTCTTTTTTCCGCCGTTGCTGCTTTTTTTTTTTCTTCCAGGTCCCTCCTACACGCGAGACCCGCCGCAAATTCTCTTATGGATGTTCGACATCTCTGATAATTGCTGAAGGCGCTGTTTGTAGACAAAACAGGGATATTTCGAGGGTAGCGGAGCGTGGAGAAGATAATGGAGTCAAGAGGGAAAAGTCACGACTCCCCACAATGACTAAGCAGCCTCCAGTGAGGCCGAATATGACGGATGTTTATTCAGGAGATCAAGGCTGGTGCTCAGACTAATCAACAACAGCGTGCGTCCCTAACATCACCTTGCGAGCAATTTTCTTTTCCGCAATTTAATTTTTCAAACCTTTCCAGGAATAAAACTTCTTCATATTCACTTAATTTTCTTGGTTTGAGACGGGATTATTATTTTTTTTTTTGTCATGCTTCGGGGACACAGAAAATTATGATGAAAGGCTCGATGAAGAAAGTGCATGTGCAAGTGTGTTTCTGTGTAAACAAAGGGAAGGAGACAAAGAGCACATTAGATGCAGAGGCACTCACATCAAAGCCGAGTGGAAACGCATCTCTCAGATACACAAACATACAGACGGGAAGAATTACCTGCAGATGTCTGATGGTGAAAATGACCGGGTCAGAGAGGTAGACTTTGTTCGAGTCCTTGTTGATGGCGGCTGTGATAACCGGAGAGTTGACAATGACGGAGTAATTGGTAGCCATGGCTTCGCTGCCCAGCTTCATGCTGGCGTTCTCCGTCGACAGGTACACCCCGATGTGTTTGTACAGGACGAACGCTATTCGGATTTCGCCTGCAAGGAGACAATTACGGGGAGGGGGGAGAAAAAAAGTGACAATTTGAACACAGCAACACTGCGAGGACGGGCGTTTATGTGCTGCCGTAACAGCATCCAGTCAAGACTCCGGCTGCAGTCATTTTTCTGTCCTTTTTACTCGGACAGCTCTGATTCTGCTGAAACCGTTCACGTTTACTGCACAAATGTCCAGTTTATATATGTCAGGCAGAGTGAAACAACTGCTCTAACATTTGTGCTCTTATCTTTGTGGAACAACAGAATTTACCAATCAACAGGAAAACAGCTGTGATGCTGAACAAATAAATAGCCACGGTCTTAAAGTGTCCTTTATAGGCAGTTGCTAACTGGGTTCATCCACTCCCTTATTAAAGGTACTTCACTTGTTTTCTTGTTGGACTTTTGGAGCTAATACATGAACCAGTGTTTGTGTCGAGACCGAAGGAAGCGATCACCCCCAACTAAGAAACGTGTTAATGCTCAAATCTAAATTCATGCCATAAGAGACTCTGTTTAAATTCATTTTTTGTCCTCTAGTGAGACAACAAGAAGCCAATTTGCTATGAGGTTGCGATAAGGGACGTCAAAAACCTGATCCACAGATTGAGATTAGCCAAAAAAGTTATGTCCAATCCTTTCTTTACATCCGTCCGACAACAGCCCAGTTAAAGTCAACACTTGGTTGGTGGCCTGACTTCAATAAACTTCATCCAAGTCTCTGTCATGGGGCTCCTTTACTAGCTAAACAATGCTACCCGTTAGCCAACACGTCTTCTCCGGTTGCTACCGTATCAAACAGTAAACAACTACCTACAATACTTTAGGAGTGTATAATCTCATGTATCGAGCATCAGCAGAACGTAAACACTCAATGACTCAGATTGGATCGCAGACCGAAAAAACATTGATTGGAAAATGTCTGGCGAGTAATATAGGAAATATATAAGAGCGTGCAGAGTAAGTGCAAAGAGATGTACTCAAACTGAAGCACCGGACATTAGTGTGAAGAGTATGAGTGGATATACAGCCAGGAGATGTTTAAAAGAGGAAGCGAGACAAAACAACTCCCCACGGCGTTGGTTAAGGACATGAATAGAACTCTTTTTGCTCCTTGAGGCGGCCACACATACATCTGGACTTCCGATCAACCTCGTGGATTAGTGGTGGAACGTCTTCAAGAACCAAAAAGAAAAATCCAGCTGCTTTTTACTGAAGTTCTTGGGGTTAGTCTGACCTGACTGACAGCGTCTACAGACTTGTAGCTGCCACTTTACTGGACCATTTTACTGGTATTTGAGGTTTCCAATGATCGGCCTCTTTTAAACACATCTTTGAAGGAGAACGGAGCGACATCGGTTTGTGATGGAATGTGCAATATGTGCAATTTGGGCTTTTCCACACGTGCAGCACTCGAGTCCGAGACGAATTTCCCCGTGGAGACAATAAAATTTATCGTATCGCATCATATTATCCAGTCTGGGACAATAAACAATGTTTATGGTGTGAGTTAGCAAAATGGATTTATTGAAAGCAACGGGCTGCCAGCTTCTTCTTCTTCTTCTTCTTCTTCTCACCTATTTTAAGCTGGAAGCCACTGACGGATGCAGCCGAGTGAGCGTCTCTGCGGCACTGACTGCCAAGCACCTCCACAAACCCACTTCTTTGTTGACTTTCTTTTATTCATCGGAGATTACCGTGTTGACACAGGAGAGAGTCTTCTTCAAACTATTAAATATCATTGTGTGAAGCCTGAGCGCCACGAGGAAACCACGTACACAACGTCCACACGCTGTCGTCGACACACTCTTGGAATGTGACAGTTTTCTGCTTTATAGTGAAGCTTCCTGCTATTCACTCACAGATCGGACCGTCGGATTTCAGGAATGCGAGAAAAAGACTGGAAATAGCGACAAAAAAGAACGCCGCAAATAATAACTCAGCCGAAACCTTGTTAACACAACAATCGCAAATTCACCGTCAGAAAAATGAGACGGGTGTCAAGGTTGCCAGCGGAGTTCCAACACGAGGAAAGAAAAAGGAGAAGGAACTGTTCCTCCATCAACAAACAGTTTAATTCAAAAAAAACACCACACCACAAACACGTCGGAGCATTTTTCCTGTTAATAATTTCCTCCTCTCGTCCCTTCGCCACCTCCCGCCGTCTCACTTCGGAGCACCGATATGAAAGAAAAGTTTGCTCCCGCCGCGACCGAGATCACTCAATCAGATGAAAAGAAAACAATTTGGGTGCCGCGGCGCCGGATGACGGGTGGGAAACATCCGCCACCCCTGCTATAATGATCCGCCCGGGCCCGGCTGGACTCGGGCTTTAGTCATCCAGCTGCGAGACGCCGGGCACAGCTTGAGATCGACTCCGATTTGCATGAGCCGATAATAAAAGTGTAAAAGATGGGGCTGCGCCGCGCCCGAAGATCGCTACGCATTGTGTCTAACTGCCTCATTTACAGTTTAGAGGTGGCGCTTGAATGCCACTAATTCTACGGCCGGGGCCCCATTTGAAGGCGGCGAGCGCCTCGTATGTAGATCAACAAAGGATTTGGGTGTCGAACTGAAAGCCATTCACAGGCATGTGTAATAAAAAATTCCTGCAAAAAAAACCCAAGTGAAATGATAAATTACAGCAGATCTGAGGCGCCTGAGAGTGTCTCATGCAACACAATATTCCCATTGTCCCATTTTGTCTGCTAAATTCATCACAACCCTGAATAAGACGCAGCAACAATACGAGGAAAACGATAAAAGCAGTTTGGATTTCTTACCGTTCCGTCCGTGCTGCTTGAGCGTGTTGGCCGACAGGTGGATGGAGTTGCCTTGGCCTCCGGTTTGAGGGAACTTCAGGTCGGGCAGGTTTCCGTCCGTGCTCATCCTGGCCACCTCCAGCTCTGCAAACAAACCCAACGGTTAGTGGCGAATACAGGACAAGACTAAACTGGGTTTGCAAAACTCTTGGATTTAGTTATTTTGGAACCCAGACAAGGGACTAATTTGTTTTTTTTGGCAACTGAAATCGAGTAAAGTTTCAGAAAAAAGGCTCCTGGAAGCCTGTTTTGTCTTGCAGATAATCACAGTTGGTGTCTTGTTGGATCCAACACAGGCCACCAAGGCAGGTTTGGGTATTTAATTAAAGAAACTGATCATTCTCAGTATTGATTGATTGTTTAAGTTGCAGTGTTTTCTTTGCTATCAACCCTTATCTCCTCTGCGTAGGAGCTTATTAACCACTGCATCTCCGCCTCGAAGGGCCGCTTCGCTCTCCACTCTCCACTCTGGCGTCCTCCTTCAGGTGATGGCGTCCTCTCTTGAACCGAAAACACCCGTCTTCGTTTGGAGGCGTCCTCGTGCCGGGCAGAGCGAGCCGGAGATGCGAGGGGAAGATAAAGAGCGGCGAAGGGAAAGGATGAGCTCGCTTCTGCAGCAGCTCAACAGCTGTTGTGTCTGAAGCGAGCTCCTAATTTATGGTTCAAAGACTCGGCTGTCATGCGGCAGAGGAAAATGAGCTGCTGATAGGAGCGCCGGCTGAAATAAAAAGCTCATTCCATCAAAGTTATTACGGTATGATACAATTCAATTTAATAAAGTAGGCCAGCGCGCCGTAATCTCAAGTACCGCTGACCTGCGTGACGTCTAGGAATTCCTAAATGTCAGTTTAAGTCCCAGAGCACTCGGATGAAGCCACTCTGAGGTGGAAGTACAGAAAAGAAGTTGAACAAATGTCACATTCCGAAGAGAAGCAGCACGGCTTAATCCAAATGGTGGGTGTAAGTAGACAAGCAGTGACGTATTACTTGTTTTAATGCTGTAATGCTAAAGGATTAGATGTTTTAGCCACTAGTGCGTCGCTTTTCTAGACAAATACATCAACAAGACCTGGTTTCTGCTGAATACACTGGAAAAAAATCTGTTTTTTAAATGTCGTTTGTTTAAAAAGTTAATAGAAGTTTACAGATGTCCCCTGTT